TCAGGAGCGGAGGATAAAGCGCTCTTCTTAAGGCTGGGAAGCCACTCTAAAGATCTGTTTGTAGCGAGCAACGTTCAGAATTCTACAGACGGTCATGCATTCTGCCGCGATCATTCTGTTTCTGCCAGTGAATTTTTCCAATTTTCTAGACAGTCGCGTCGATACCGCTATGGTTCGTTTCGTCAGTGATAGATCGATTTGCGTGCTCGTGGGGAGTTCCCCTTCTTTCGTCGTTCTGCTCGGACCCCGCTTTCCTTGTGCCATTCGTCAGCTCACAAGGTAAACTTGGGTTCATTATCTGGCTGGCATTTTGTTTACACTTTCCGACATAATTTCATCCCTGTTCCCCCGTGCTTGCACTATTCAACTTCAGTATATCATGTGTATCTGTGATAATTGCACTTCCCCAGTATACCACGTATGGACTAACAAGGGAAGGATACCAGGTCGAAGTGGCCATTTGTAACGAGACATACACCACTAGATGTGTTTTTGGACGCTGATCTCGAATCTGCTCTCCAAATCTGCGGAACGATTCTCTGAACGTAGTTATGAAGCGAGATAGTGCAGTGGCAGCGGCCCGAGGCCGACGGAACAAGAGCGAAAAGTAGGTCGGGCAAAGAGCTTCAACACCGGTTTGGCGCGTTCATTTGCAAATGAGACCGCTTCTGGTACTCGTAGCGCACATGTCAAGCACTTTTCGTGCCGAACAGATATGATATTCTTGTTCAGCGTGTCAGACTACCCCTTCCGAGGACTTTTGGTCCAAATCTAAACTTTTTGACCTGAAGTTGAAAATCTGGGCACACACGACCGAATGGAAACGGCAAATGACGCGCATAGTGTTCGAAGCTCTTCGCCAGCTCTATCCATTTGCAGGATAGCGCAGTCGCCCTGTGATGATTGTGGCATAATGAGATTCTTTAACCCTTTCGGACCTGAATTTTTCCCGTGGAGAAATTTTTCTTCTAGCTATTGTTTATTACTTGTGAGCATATAGGTATCATTATGGCGAAATTTGGAAGCTATTCGATCACAAACAAAGAAACTAAGAAGCTTTGAAAATTGGCCCACCTTCTTAGTTTTTAAGCTTATGTCGAAACAATTCGAAATTTCATAGTTATGCCGAAAAAGTTTATAATCTTGCATAACATTATAACCCATAATTTTGATTTAGGAATGGATCTACTTCAAGTATTTTAAGAAAAAGTCACACTTACTTGGCCGGTTGCGGGGGTCAGCGCCGATTCATTGTTGCACTTGTACACAAATACTTGTAATACTAACAGCAACACACAATGAAATGGCAGGTTTAGCTCATAATTAGGAAGGGGAAGGTTGACTGAAGCAACCTCTAGCAGGATTAGAAAAACCATGCTGTTTCAGCGGCAATGCAAGCGTTTGAATTTGGTGGTGGCAATAGCCACCGCCACAAGAATGTAACTTCAGCATTAGGCTGATGTTACCGTAATCGGGACAGCGCGTCAAATGAGATGCATTATCGGCGCGCGCACACAATCTACGTTGTACTTGACGGCAAACGCTTTCGGAAGATTCTGGAAATGTATCGTGCATTTAGTCGACGCTTTTAACTAGTTCCTCACCTTTATCTCATATATATCCCAACAAATGGAGGTGCTAACTTAGTTGGGGGGGGGGGGCACGCGGCGGCGCGGCAGTCTGCTCACCTGGGCTCTCTCTCGAGCGAGACAGTGTAAACTCGAACATTCCAGCTTTTCACGCATGTCAAGTGACTGCCCCCACCCCCCTAGACTGCCTACACTCCCCCTGGCCCACGGATTTCCGAACATGCCAGGCGAGCAGACTGCCGCGCCGCCCCCCCCCCCAACTAAGTTAGCACCCAAATGGAAATCACGTCTACACTAGTATAGTCCACTAGCAGCAATGTAAACAGCGCCAAGTTAAGGCTTGATTCCTTTCCTCTATTAGGCCAAATTTAGAACGAAAAATTACTCGTTAGAAAGCCAATGAAGTCGTATTTCAAAAAAGGATCAACCAATTCACAAGCTTGCTGTTGCTAGTTTCTAGGAGAAGCAGAGTATTATTTAGAATTTCCATATCGAGAAGGTTGTCGGCTCAATGGCCAATGGCAAAACTGAGTACGCAAACAATAACCTTTGCACTATGGGAAAACGCTCATCGCCTTATTATGAAGTTCAGTCCTATTAGCAGTGATGCATTTGACGAGATTTGTCAAAATATTTTGGTTTATGGATGAGAAGAGCACGCGCCAATAAGCCCGACAAAGTTACATATCAGAAATTGAAGGACTAGTCATCCTCTTCCATAGAACGACACATAGAACGCATCGTTTTCTTGCTGATTGTTCGTGACTTTCACTCGATCGAATGATACCAACTTGCTCATCCAAGCTCGCCCGGTGTCCACGGCACCGTCATGATGAGGAATATGCGAAATGGTGTTCGCGCTTCTCCCCTGCCGTTTGTAGACCAGTCACCTGCATTGAAATTATACCTGGAGATAGAATACCTTTACCAGAATACCTTGACTACCATGCGGATAAAAGTAATGTTTCTGCTAAGCTAATCTTTGTCTCGTGAGATAAAACTGATTTGGACCCTTGTCGAGCTTGCCCCGCGAGTGAATGAATGACAGCTTCCTGTCAATTCAGTGGAGAGGGCGTCAAAGTTAAAATTACGCACACCGGTCTGAACTCCAAGAGATCCGCTGATGAAACTTCAAAGAAGCTTCGTCCCCAAGGTTGGGGATGCATCCCCTCATCCGCAGAGGGGACGCTCCCCTCACCCGCTGAGGGGACGCATCCCAACCTTGGGGACATATCCGGAACCTTGGGGAGAGGGGATGGGTACCCATCCCCTCGTCGGGCTTGCTGCACCGGCCCCAGAACTATCATACAGTGCCAATGCGCATTGCGGATGCTTATGTCGTCAAGTACAACGTAGGTTGTGTGCGCGCGCCGATAATGCATCTCATTTGACGCGCTGTCCCGATTACGGTAACATCAGCCTAATGCTGTAGTTACATTCTTGTGCCACCGCCAGGGCCGAAAGGGTTAACCCGATTCTCTCATTGCGTCGCCTGGTACGTAGCCGGCCAAACGCCGTCTTCTTTCCATGCCTCGCCTGGCTCTGCCTCCTGGTCCTTCGATGGTCCATAACGTGTAGTTTTTGTACGTTTGTTTCTCTTCAGAAACCGAATCTTCATGCGTGAAACTTTGTGTGCTATTTCCAGTGATCACAACTGACATACAGTAGCGGTCAAAAGTCTTCGCCGAAATTGTTTTTCGACTGTAACTTTTTTTCCGCTGAATCAAATCAATTCAAATTTTAATATGTTTTAGAGATAGTCCTACTTCACTTAAACGGCATATTTGTTTCGGATTGAGAAAGAATTAAGAATGGAAAAAATCATTTCACTAGAAATTCTCGCGTATGAGCAAATTCCAAGTAGGTTTCAAATTACTCTAGCAAGCTTACAATTCAACAAAACAATCTTACGCATGATGAATAACACTGGGCAGGTCCAATACTTTGTTAATGATCTTCTGGGTTCGCTGAAATACTAACAAGGCCTAAGTAAGGAATCAGTCATTGAATGCACTGTCTACTAGGGCAGCTTCCTCCACTTCTCTTGAAATTTGACGAGTTTCTCGCCCATATTCCCGGCTCTTAATTTCCACCAAAGGTATCCCTACTCTTTCCCATAATGTTTCGATGGCGCTCGGGACATTGGTGTGAATTGTTCCTTTCGTTGAAAGCGCGCCATGCTGGCGAAGCCACTCCTTCACAGTGAAGGTGTGATGCTTTTGGTCGCACTAATGCTAGAAGGCGAGCTCAGTCGCGGGCAGCTGTCATACACGTGGATAAGAGCTCCTTCTAGAACCCAACTGTATAGGCTGCCTTCACATGATTGCGAATACTGCGAAGTTAGTCGGCGGTGAACTGGTCGGGGGCGAAATGTGCTTACGCACACCTAAAGTGGGGATCCCCATAGGGCTACAACGTCCTGCGGACCAACGAGAGTAAATTCAAGATGTTTGCCGGCGACTGAAATAGGAATGTGTGCGGTCCTGAGGGAAAACGTTTCGATCCAAGGAATTAACTGCCGTATGTAAAACTTGGCGGAGGCTCGCGTGTGGTAGTCCGTAAAAGAAGTTTTACAACTGCACAGGATTAGAGAAGTGGTGAATGCCGACGTATCAGATAGATTCTAGAAGGAGTTTCGTATCCGCTCGTATGAAACTGTACGTGACTGAGTTCGCCTTCTAGCTATAGAGCGACCAAAAGCATCGCACCTTCACTGTGAAGGATTGGTTTCGACAGCATGGCGCGCTTTCAACGAAGGGAACAATTCACACCAATGTCCCGAGCGCCATCGAAACATTATGGGAAAGAGTAGGGATACCTTTGGTGGAAATAAGAGCCGGGAATATGGGCGAGAAACTCGTCAAATTTCAAGAGAAGTGGAGGAAGCTGCCCTAGTAGACAGTGCATTCAATGACTGATTCCTTACTTAGGCCTTGTTAGTATTTCAGCGAACCCAGAAGATCATTAACAAAGTATTGGACCTGCCAGTGTTATTCATCATGCGTAAGATTGTTTTGTTGAATTGTAAGCTTGCTAGAGTAATTTGAAACCTACTTGGAATTTGCTCATACGCGAGAATTTCTAGTGAAATGATTTTTTCCATTCTTAATTCTTTCTCAATTCAAAACAAATATGCCGTCCAACGCCGCCTCGTGAGAGGACTAATCTCTAACATGATTAAATTATTGGAATATGAACTTCGAGCGAAAAGAAAGAGACACCTAAGGTGGGGGGGAGACGGGAGTCGAAAAACAATTTCGGCGAAGACTTTTGACCGCTACTGTATTTATGTTAGGAAAGAGTGCAAGAATTTTCCGCGCAAGATTCCTTTGAGGAATTTTTCGGGATTGGGTTATTTTTTGCTATAGGAATAAGCCTAATGGGGATGGGTCAGGTGGATTAGGCATGCAGTGCCACTTGGATGTTGTTCTTCAGTAGAAAGTAATTGTCCACGCACATGAAGGAGGTAGTACGCTTTCACTGAGCATGCCCACAAAATCGCAAATGAGTTGGCAGGACTGAAAAAAAAACCGTTGAAGTCCGGTTGAAGGGTGCCTTTTTTTGAAACAGGAAACACTTCAAAATTTCTTACAAAAATGTTTGCAGCTTAGATTTTGTTCTGGAATAAAGTGATCAGAGCACGCTAAATTTGATCAATAAGGTTGCGAACCATGGAGCCTTATCTTAACT